TGCACACACACGCACACCTGAAACTCCTCCGGGCAGCTCCTCTTGCTGTTGTTGTTGTTCAGGTTCTCGCAGTTCAACCTGCTCTCCTCCTCCTGCACAGACGAGCGCCGTTTCCACCTTTCGACCGGTTTCTCCTCTCTGGCCTCTCCCTCCTCCGGCACTGCCAGCCTGGGCGACACGCCGTCGCCCTTCGGGAGGCCAGCCTCAGCCTCCTTCCAGGCTTTTTTCTCGCCGAGTCCAGCGGCGATTTCGGCTCTCTCCTCACCCTCCAGCTTCTCCTCCTCCTCCGACGGGTCGGAGAACCCTGCAAACGGCAGGGCCGGCAAGGCGGGCAACTCGGCCTCCTGGAGAAGCACGTCCCTTTCCAGGTCCTCCACCTGGAAAAAGGATTCCCGGCTCCCAGGTAAGGAGTCCGAGAGGCGCCGGAAGCAGTAGTGGAAGCCCACGGGCTCCTCGTTTCCCCCGGGGTCCGGGAAGCTGGGCTGGCAAGGAGAAGGGTCCAGGTCGATGTCAAAACCGTCAAGGAAGAAATCGCCCGGCCCACTGGGGGCCTCCGAATTCTGCGGGAGGCTGTCCTCCGACTGCTGCTTCCACAGCTTGTTATGACGCTGTTTGCTGAGGGGCAGAGAGTGAGAGAGAACGCCTAGGTGATTACAGCTTAAAAGGCTCTCTGCCTGATGAGTTCTGGGCTGTCAAACGTTAGTCTGGCTTTTAATTTCATTCCCCAAATGACCATCAGATGTCTGCAGATCTTCTGAAGCTGCCCAATTTTATTGGCATTAACCAAAGGAACCGAAAACGGGGCAGAAGATGCTTCTTCTGGAAACACACAATTCTGTTTCTCTCTCTCTCTCTCTCTTCTTTCAGCCTCTTCCAGCTGGCACAAATAAGGCAGCCCTTCAATGCACTTTTTATTTATTTTCTTACATTAATACCCCACTTTTTAGCCAGCAAACTGGAGGCTGCGTACATGTTCTCCCTCCCTCCCCACTTTTTAGGACGACAAGGACAAGGACCGTTTCTGGACCACTGCCTGAGCTGTACAGCCAAGCCGGCCTTCAAGCCCAGCTCTCCTGAGACTTAGCAACGGCTGCATCAGACCACTAGCAACCAAAACTGAAACCATCTGAAAACTGGGGGGAAAAAATTACAGACAATGCCCCCTCTTACGGTCTCATCCCAAACACTGCTAGCACCCAATTCAGGGTCCCCAATTCGGGGCCAGTAGCCTTAGCCGGCTCTGTAGGTGCACTAAAGACAACGGAAGTAAGTTAAAAGCAATAAAAGAAGAAGAGAAGCCAGCAGAAACCAGGGGCTGCAGAGCTGAGGGAGCAAGGAATGGATCCGGGCTTCACGTGCTACAAGGAAGTGAATAAAGGCAGGAAGCCTTGGCTGCTGAGCAGAGAAATGTGCTGAGCTGACAGCTTTTGCCCACTCCCAGGGCTGATGCGGAGGGAAGCCTCCCCAGTCCCCAGATGCTCTCAGCCTGCGGGCAGTCCTCAGACACCACAACCGTCGCCAAGCCTGAAATAGCAGCTCTGAGGCCTCTGCCTGACGAGGGTTCAGCGCAGTGGGGGCACAAACCCCTGGAGAGGGAAGTGAGCAGAGGTAAGGCCTAGGTAACACCTCCTGAGCTCCCTCCTCTCTCCAAACACCACTAGGGCTTTCAGAGTCACCCCCAAAACCTTGAGGGGTGCACAGAAAGGGACCAGCAATCAATCTCTTAGGACTATCTGAGGGGGACAGTCCCAAAGACTCCTCCTGAACTGACAGCAATTGGCAGTCCTGGCTATCTTATAGACCTCTCCATACCTTGAGGGGTGCACAGAAAGGGACCAGCCGTTCCCAAGCCCTGGAGTTGCTTTGCAAGAGAAGGTAAGGCCTGAACTGACAGCAATTGGCAGTCCTGGCTATCTTATAGGCCTCTCCATGTTGAGCTTCTTTTTTTTGGGGGGGGGGGAGTTGCCTCTCACAGTCCTGCTATTCTCAGAGGCATGTCTGCTGCCAGCCAAAGAGAGGGCGTTCTTGGTGGCCGTTCCCAAGCCCTGGAGTTCCTTTGCAAGAGAAGGTAGGGTGGACATACTTCGGTTCTCCTCCCACAGGCAGGCAGAGCTTTTTTCTTTTAATTCCTCCAGAACTTGGGCAGTTACCTGGCTGCTAAGCAAGGGGCTTTGAAAGGGTATGTGTGTGTGTGTGTGTTGTACTTTTCTGCTCAGAAACAGGTTTTTAAATAAACCGCATTTTAACATGATAATTTGTTTTCTTGTGTTTTAAGTTTCATCTGTGCCTGTTTTTAATCTGATTGTATGTCCCCTTGAGTCCCATGATCTTTGGGAGAAAAGCTGGGTAGCTATCAAATGAATGAATGAATGAATGAATGAATGAATGAATGAATGAATGAATGAATGAATGAATGAATGAACGAACGAACGAACATTTAAAACAAGTTTGTCTCTAAGATCTGCTCTATCAAAGGGAGAGGAGCCAATGGGACACAGGGCAGTGTGGAACTGACTCCCACCCTCACTGCCCCTGCACCTCTTCCACCACCAAGCACCCCCTTATTACCTGGCATCCAAAATGCCCTGGTATTCCTGCAGCTGTCTCATGAAGCCGGCATTTGGCCGGGCAATGCTGCGCTTCTGCTTCACGTAGTTGTACGCCTTCTCCAAGGACCAGCCAAACTCCTTCATGGCGTAGGCGATCACCGTGGAGGCCGAGCGGCTCACCCCCATCTTACAGTGGACCAGGCACTTGGAGCGATTCCTCCTGGGGGGGGGCATAGACATGAATGGGACAGAGTTGGATGGGGAAGGGAGAATAATCATTTTCTTTTGCTTCACAGGGCTCTATAGGAGTGCAAAACTGGGACATGCGCTGGAGGGCTGGAGGGCTTCACTAAGAGAAAACCGGAACACCCTCTTTCTCAGGTCGGCTTTGGTTTGGATTCCTGCCCTGAGCAGAGGGTTGGACTCGATGGCCTCAGAGGCCCCTTCTGACTCCCACCGTTCTAGGATTATTCTCTGGTTCTGAGATTCCCGGGTCGCCTCCACAGCACTGCTGACCAATAATTGAGCAGGGAAAAAGCGACTTCCTCCACAGAATGGCAGTGGTGAGAATTCTCAAGGAGCTTTCCTGGGCCACTGGATGAGAGTTGGAGCCTGTGTCGGGTTCAAATCCCAGCCCAGTTTTGCACCGACTAAAGAGGGGTAGGTGTGTGTGTGGGGGGCCACAGGCACGCAAAGCAGGCCCACACCCCGGCCCAGTTTCGCACCCACTAAAGGGGGGTAGGTGGGGGGGGGGCACAGGCACGCAAACCAGGCCTGTCTCTCTCTGTCTCAGCTCTCCGCCTGCGGACGGAAGCGAGATCTGAGTTCTAGGATTATTCTCTGGTTCTGAGATTCCCGGGTCGCCCCCACAGCACTGCTGACCAATAATTGAGCAGGGAAAAAGCGACTTCCTCCACAGAATGGCAGTGGTGAGAATTCTCAAGGAGCTTTCCTGGGCCACTGGATGAGAGTTGGAGCCTGTGTCGGGTTCAAATCCCAGCCCAGTTTTGCACCGACTAAAGAGGGGTAGGTGTGTGTGTGGGGGGCCACAGGCACGCAAAGCAGGCCTGTCTCTCTCCGTCTCAGCTCTCTGCCTGCGGACGGAAGCGAGATCTACTCGGATTTCCAGATTAAAGGTGCCCTCTCCCCCCCCCGGGCACCCATAAGCCCTCGGGAACGAACAGATGAGGAAACCAACGGGATTTACTTGGCTTTGTTTATGAAATGGTAGGTTTCATTCCAGTGGGCCAGGAGGTCCGTCGTCTCTTCGTCGTAGACTCTGATGTTGTGGTAGGCGAACATACCAGGGAAAAAATTGTCAATCTCCCTGGTGACGTTCAAGATGTAGTCCACGCTGCAAAGAGGGAAAGGGGTCAGAACAGGCTGGGCTGGCTTTGAAGGAGAGCCTAGGATGGGGGAGAAAAAGAGGAGACCCCCCCTCTTCTGGAGACCAGGCTATTTATGCAGCACTCCCCCCAGTTCACTTGAGATGCTGGAAAGGCATGGACAACCAGGTTTAGGATCCACCTGGTTAAAAGATCAGGACCACTTAAATCTGACCCCTCGGCTCCCTGTTAATAATAATACCAGAGATCCCATCCACTCTTCCATTAGAATTTGACTTGTTTTAGTAAGTTTGAAAGAGGGAAGGATCAGAGCTGGTGCAGAAGAGCTGAGATCCAGCACGCTGGGTGTCAATTATGCAGTAAAATCTAGATCAAAAGGGTCACTCTGTGTTCCCCACCCCCCGGGCACCTGGAACAACATTTCAGAGTCCTGTGAACCCTGGACGACTCGGACTTTGGTGGCAGAATATGCAAGGACCATTCCTATGGAAAAGGGAGGAGGTGTGGGAGAGACTCTACAGCAGCCACGGTGGCCATCCCTAGCTTCCGGTCACCTCCTGCTGACCGTAAGCCTCCACAATCACCCACACACTCCACAGACACCGCCAGGCTGCCGGATGTGCTAGGGAACAAGGCCCTTGTGCTTACAGTTCTACGAGTGGTGTGGGAAAAGGAACTTCAGCAGCTTCTCCCCTTACCATCACCATGGACCAGGTGGAGCTGTGCCTGCTGAAATTCCTCCTTCTACATCACTTATTTTTTTAAAAAATCAACCTGGCACTGGTACAGCCCTGCCTGGCTCACAGAGTTCTCAGCCTGGTTTCTTTCTTCCTCCCGTTTTTGCCTCTTCTGGTCCTTGGTCCCGGCTAAAACGCAGACACACCTCCAAAGGTTTGACCCTAATCACGTGCACTAACCAAAGGCTGGCGCGAAGCCAGGGGTTCAGTGTCCTGCCCTGGAGATTCCCTTGCCCGCCCCCCCAGCCCTGACAGTTCCACACGTGGCCCTGTTTCTCTTCTGCTTGGAAGGAAAGGGGCACGTTCCCAAACACCAGCCTCAAGGGCTGCCGAGACAACCTAAAACTTGCCGCCACGGGCTCCCCTCTGCCCTGTTCTCCCTGAGTCTCAAGAGAAGCGGCGCCCGGGATTTCCCCATCCTCTTATGACCAGCAAATGTGACCCAACTCCTGCAGTTCAGTGCTTACCAGTTCACTTGAGATGCTGGAAAGGCACGGTACTCACCCTGAGCCTCGGAGCTCTTCAAGGTTGGAGGCGTTCCACT